TGCACGTTTTGTATTGAAGATAATGTTGTGCTACGATTTTGTGCTTGTTTATATAAGATAAGACAATATCATTATGCGGATTTGCTCTATAGATTGGAAAGTCGGTGAGAAACTGTCAATTGATTCGATATTTTGAGTCAGTTCTAAGAACGTGTCAAATTCAGGTATGTTCTAAGGCGTATGTTGAGACGTGCGGCACGAATGTCTTCAGTGGCTTTGCACGCTGACAGAGGTCTATTGGCCGCTCTAGTACCTGCTTATATAAGTAACATGGTGAGTTTTAGATTCATTCAGGAGTGAATTCCATTTAGGAGTGGAGAAGACAAAATTGTTTCGGTTATTTCGGTTACTGATTCGGTTGGTTATTTCAGACGCGATCGTTTCCTGAGGTTTCACAAAATGCTGAGCTAATCAAAGAGGTGATCAGCGCCGAGGAATCTCAGTTTTGGAAAGTGGTAGATCGAGGCGAGAAGATGTTCAACGAAGAAGCTGAACGATCGACGCGGAAAGGAATTCCATTTTCGGGTCAATTTCGAATTCAAATCTGAGAATAAATTGCTGTGGTTGAGGAAACCTAGAGAGTATCTTTGCTCTGTTAGAAAACTTCACAGATTTCCGAGAAAATATACCTTTTTCTAAGAGTTATTTGGAAGTCTTCTGTAAGCGAGGATATCTGGTGATTTTGGGACTGATTCATCAGCAGTTAGTTTCATTTGTTATCCAGCCATTCAGTGTGTAATTGTAGGCGAAATGGCATGGTATCTACACAACACTCACGGCTTTCCAATCGAATTGACTTCTCTGTTAGCTGATGAAAGAAAGCTATCGGTTGATTTGAATAAATTCGAAGAGTTAAGAACACAAGCCAAGGTGACGACGCTCAATTCTATGTTTGAGATGTCTATTGGTTTGTTAAAATTACAAGAGAAGTGAAATTAGAACGTTGATATCTGTGGATTGTATTGTCTCTGAGTGGATTATATTTGTGATGCCTTAATATTCATCATAATCTAAACTCGAAGAAGACTTCAGATGTCGAGAGAGATTAAAGAGGATGAAAAATGCTGGCGACAAGCTGATCTGGATCAAATGAATAAGCAAAAATCATTGCCAGCTACTAATGATGCCGGCAAATATGATTATACGAGACTACAAAATGGGAAATATTGTAAGTTCGATAGTCAGTAACTGTTCTTGTTGTATTTTGAATATTTTTGCTGCTTATTGTGGGTATTTTTGATTGTTCTCTCATATATTTACACTTATAATTAACTGAGTCTACATTGAATTTGAAGTATTCAACGAGCGATCTGCGACAATACAGGCGATTTTCTCGGAAACAGGCGATTTCGTGCAGCGATTAGAGCCAAATCATCGCGGATGCTTGATATTGGATGAGACGATTTTCTACGCTGAACAAGGCGGTCAAATTGCAGATTGTGGTGCCTTATATGATCAAAATCAGGTTGGTGCACTTGGTGAATTCGCCATTAGTATCTGTCAACTGAAATATGCCGCCATACCATCCATACTTGTCATATGAATCAGTTTCGCTGTCTACAACTAAGATTTGCAACCGGATGATTAATGAAACTTACGATTATCATGTGGTATTTTGTGGTTGTTGTGAAGCCTGGAGTTATATTTGCAGAAGAAAGTGTTCACTGTAGACGATGTACAGAAACGAAACGATTACGTGCTACTGATTGGCAATACCACTGAACAGAGCTTGACAGTTCGGAGTGATGTTATGCAAAAAATTGATATTGTAAGTTGTTGCTGCTCTATGTTGTTTAGGGTAATCATTCAAGCGATCAGTTTGCTGGTTTGATTGTTTTGGTGGAATTCGGCGAATCTCACCAGCAGATGATTAGTTTTGTTTTGTGAATTGAATTCATATGGTTGTCATTGTGGTGAGCGGCGACTCTCGTTTGTGACTTCTTCGTGTTCTTTCAAAAAATTTCCAAACTTATCAGGAACGTCGTATGGGCTTGATGCGTGCTCATACGGGAACACATCTTTTGCTGCATGCACTTCGCTGCGCTTTCGGGTCAAGTATTCACCAGAAAGGATCATTGGTTTCGCCGGATCGGATTCGTTTCGATTTCTCTCTCCAGAAAGCACTCACAAATGAAGAAGTTCGTTTACTTTCTCTCAATCATACCTGTTGTCTAGCGTTTTGTCGAGAAACTTTCATTCCACAGAAGTTTCTCCTGATAGAAAATTTCAGTTGCACGTTTGTGGGTGTAGCGTTTCGTTTGAATTAGTTCAATTTCAATTGAGCTTGTTGTTTTTGTTGAGAATAATTCGGGTAATAATGGTCGTTGAAAATGCATTTTTTGAATTTTAATATGACCAGTTGAATTGCTCATTCAGATCAGTGAACTCGAACGAACAGTCAATGAAATGATTGAGGAGGCGCTTCCGCTTCGAACAGAAACCCTGAATTCAACAGTTCAACTGAACACTTTCAGAAACCTCCAATCAACAATTACTGCGTCACTCATGGTTGTGCTTCAAAAATTATTTGTTCATTTTATTCGCTCTACAGTGAATTTGTCAAGCA